ATTTCTTGTTTTCAGGTGGGAGAAGCCGCACATTCTGTTTGGTCAAATGTTGGACTTTCTACGTTACTGTGTAGTCTGGCTACCAGTGATACTGGCACTTGTACAATTCATTTATTACGTGTTCCACCTGGAGTGATATTTGAAGAAATAGTTATTTTAATATTGAACTGATTATTATTATTATCTATTCTTTATTATTATTATTATAATCTATTGTTTTTTGAAATTGATATTATTTTAGCTCTTATTAAAAATTAATTATAATGATCTGGTTAAAAGCTGGGAACATATTTTTAGAAGAAACTATTATAATTTTGACTGAGTTTTGATGTGTAAAAATGATAATTTTATTGGAATTTAAGCCACGCCCCTAATTTGTTTACACCCACGCCTTCTCACCTTTTGATGGGCGGGGCTTACCCAGTAATTAATGGCTGAGAAGGTACAAGGTAGAAAAAGAAGCAAAGAGTCTTTTAAAAGAGAAAGATCTTACAGCTACAGCAATGACAGCCAGAGGTAAGCCAACACGACCCGCCTCTGTTAATATAATTATTAACACAGCCCTGACTCGAGTGCTGGCGTCCCTGATATAGAAATCACTCAAGTTGAGGACAAATCTCATAAATTAGGTGAGATATTTAAGTTATGATTTTATGTGGCTTTATTTACACGTACTTCATTAGTAGCATATGTACACCATTATCTATTTAATGTGCATTAACATGTAAATGTCGTGATGTTGTTAATTTTTTGTATATTTTTAGGTTCTCCACGTCGGTCTGTTCCTGTTCTTTCTGTCATTCCGTCTCCTTCAAGAGCACCTGAAGCTCCGCCCAGAGGAGGAGTTAAAGAGAAAAAGAAAAATCAAACAAGAGTTAGATCAGCTTCACCAAAAGTATGCCCTTTTTTATTGTTCGAAAAAACTTGGAATTTTGTATATTTTCTGTATTATTATGTACATTTATACACATTGTATCTCTTCCTTTAAATGATGTAATAATTTCCTTTATCTTTCCTCCATTATATTTTCCTCCTACTCTCTCCCTCCCTCCCTCCCTCTCTCTCTCTTTCTCTCAGCGCTATGGCTACAGTCTTGACCGAAAGAAAGCCGCCTATTCCCAAAGACTCCTCCAATCTTACTCCTCCGGCCTCGATACTCCAAATCTTATAAGAGACAATGACGATACTTGTAACAATTCACTGACAGACGGCAGGGAAGAAACCCTCACTAAAGTACATATAAATCTCTCGCAGTATAAACTGGGACTACCTCATGTTCCTTGTTCCCTAGAGGCACTTGGTATCATACCAACAAGGTAAGACCACGCCCTTTTTATTAAAGACTTTTACGTTATTATAATGTTGCGTTATGTGGTGTTTTTTTGTCAGGTATCATTCATCCGGTAAAGGTAGTTTTTTAAGTTTGACTCGTCGCTCATTGAAAGGTGCTTCATCAAAGAAGCCAGTGCCTGTGATTATAAGAGCAGTACTACCTTCATCACCAGCTGCTCTTACTGAAGAATTATCACCAGGTAAGAGGAGAAGCGAAAGGAGAGAGAGAGAGAGAGAGAGAGAGAGAGAGAGAGAGAGAGAGGGAGAGAGGGAGGGAGGGAGAGAGAGAGAGAGAGAGAGAGAGAGAGAGAGAGAGAGAGAGAGAGAGAGAGAGAGAGAGAGAGAGAGAGAGAGAGAGAGAGAGGGAGGGAGAGGGAGAAGTACATTTATAGTGAGTACATTGTATGTGAAGTGTATGTAATAATAAAAACTAATTAAACTCATGAATGTACTGAGATATTATTATCATTATTATTATTATATTATTATTATTACTACTACAGTTTACTACTGCTAGTAATTATAGTTAAATGAGTTCAGTACTATATCACTGATGTCATGTCATTATTATTATTATTATTATTATTATTATTATTATTATTATTATTATTATTATTATTATCTCTCTCTGCAGGTGATGAAATAGCTAGAGTGAATGGTGATGATGTCAAGATGCGATCAATTGAAGAGTCCTTATCTAAACTAACCAATGAAGTGAATAAATGCTCTTTAATTAGAATAACTGTACTGACGCACTTTAATTAAAATTATCATCATATTGGTTCAATTTGAAGTTTGAATTACCTAATGGTCCAATTATTTATATAGTTAAAAATTAATTTATTATTTTTATTATTATTTATTTAATTATTTTTTATTTTTCAGGTTATATTTGACGTATACAAGTGCACTCCTAGTTCTCCTCCTAGCCACACCCTCTCTCCCCCGCCCACTTATTTTTCCGACACAACTTCACCCACTCCTCCCTCCAGCTCCTTCTCTCCTCCTCCTCCTCTCATCCTGTTTTTAACCCTCGACACCAAAGAAGACGACCCACCCGATAAAGTAGGAGAGAATATATTATTATTATTATTATTATTTATTTGTTAATTTTTTTAGGATATTTTATTTTGCTACCCATCCCGTGGGTGTCATCATTTTTTAGATCAAATAGTATCGCTACGAGGAGCTTTTTTAACCCTCTCCAATCTAATACCGACCATCTCTTCATCTCTATCATATACTACCAGGTGAGGGTGGAGCTAGTTATTAATAGCTAGAGTACTGGTCATTAATTTTTAGTTTGTTAGTTTGAAATTTAATTTTTAAATTTTTGAATTCTTGTAGTTCAGTGTTGGTAGTAGATGGCGAATTATTTTACATTTCAGGACATTTAGTTGGTAAAGAATTATTACTAATAGCACAGACTGGAGTGAGGTTCGTCATATAACTGTTAATAACTATTAATAACCATTAATAACTACTGATAACCATTAATAAAATCAATAATTAAAAGATTTGTTTTTTGTTTCCTTTAGTAATTATCAAGTTGAGCTGGTACTTGATTCGTTAGTCGAATGTTTGGAATTAGTTTATGGAGATTTGATGAGGTAAAGTGGAGCCATTTTTTGGAAAAAAAAATCATGGGCTATAGTACAGGGATTTTTTCAGATTTTGGCCCATTTTTTCAAATGGCCGTAACTTGAAAAATTGAAGTCGGAATCATCTCAAACTTTCTACGTAGCATAAGGACATCAATATGTATCAGAAAATGTAATAAAAATTGGGGGTGATTTCAGAGCCATTTTTTGGAAAAAACCATGGGCTATAGTACAGGGATTTTTTCAGATTTTGGCCAATTGTTTCAAATGGCCACAACTTAAAAAATTGAAATCGGAATCAGCTCAAACTTTCTACACAGCATAAGTACAACAATATATATCAGAAAACGTAATAAAAATTGGGAGTCATTTCAGAGCCATTTTTTGAAAAAAACCATGGGCTATATGCATGTTTTGAAACTGATATAATTGCAGTCAAAATTGACTGTGATATATTATATTCTTGTTTTTGTAGTGCATTTAAAAGTGATTCCAGTACATTGTCTGGTGTGCTCTCCTCCATTTTATCTTTCTCTTCTTCTCCTTCTCCTAATTCATTTCTATTTCCTGCCCTTCAACAATTACCACTGTCAATCAAAACTGCCGTAAGTGACACGCCCACCACTAATTAATATTATTACTATTATTATCAAGTATTATTAATATCATTATTTTTTCATAATTTTTTTGGCTTACCCATTAATTTTTTTCCATCACCCGTTCAATATTTACAGGCTCAGATCAGTTCTCACCTCAATCAAATAGACGCTGCTAGTTACTCTCCACCCCTCCTCTCTCCCCCTGGCTCCTCCCCCTCCCTCCTCTCTCCCCTTGGTTCCTGTCTCTTCTACAAAGGATACCTAGTCTCCAGTCACCTCACCCTCCAGCTCCTAAGAGCTGCTCATCTCGTTTGTGTTTGTTTCGTAACTCGACAACCATTAGCTGAGCTGACTTCAGTGTGGAAGCAAATATACTTAAAAGAGGAGAGTCAGAGTGATGCTAACTTATTTGTACTAGCTATTGGAATGGTACGTTATAGCTATTGGAATAAGTATTTATTGAGAATACAACAAAATGGTGGATTTTAAAAATATTAATTGCATGTACATGTATGTTCACTTACTTCACTGTTTTAAATGTACATTGTAAATTATTATAAGAAAGAATTACATTGTGTATTTGTTTATTAGTATTTTGCAGACTGAAAATGTACAATGAATCTTTATTTTTACTTCCTCTTCTTGTTGTATTCTCTTGATGCCCCTCCCCCCATAGGAACACACCCTGTTATGTCAAGTTGTGTCCGTCGGTCGTGAGCTCAATATCTCCTCATTTCCTGATGATCGGGTCAAGGAGAACTGTCGTAAGATACTCTCAGATATCCACTCGTCAGGTCTACTGTCAGACTGCGAGAGAAGGTATGAAAATGTGTGATTTTTTAAAAGATATTTTATTGTATTTTAAAGGTTGATTGGTCTTCCTGCTCTAACTTCAGCTGACGTTTTATTAGCGTCTAATCTAACAACAGCAGCTGCTGCTGGTGCAGGAGGAGAGAAAGGAGGAGGAGGAGGAGGGAAGGGTCATCATCGTATGACCAGGAGCAGCACTGGATCAATATACTCCCTTAGTACCAGTAAGAGATATGAGAATATAGAATGTACATGTATAAAGTGCAATATATATTTTATTCTTATAACTATGAGTTGTTATAACTTCAAGTAAGTGATTTTAGAAGGTTCAAATTTTTATGAATAATACTGTTAAGAGCATAAAAATGGCAGGTTTAATTTTAGCAAGCAATGATCAAATTAAGAATTTTGCCCTCCAAAATTAGTAAAAATCAAAAAATTTTTATTTATATTTTCTCTCCTTCTCAGTTGTCAGTGGTTCCTTATCAGATTCAGATGATGATAGTTCCTCAAGATTAACTCCTAACAAATCCTCCTCAGTGTTTCATTCTTTCCGTTTGTCTCTT